TGCATAATTAATGCAACATACATAGTGTCGGAAATGAAATAAAAATAATTAGTCAATGGTGTGCCAATGCATTTTTTTTTATTCACAATTTAACTGTCATACAATTATATTTGCGGTCTTTCCTGATACTGCAGAACGTGTTCTGGTGCTTATCTTGCTTATCTGTGGGTCAGCAAGCTTCAATCAGTGATATTCCTCTGAAGGTGTTTCACACTTTTAGATATAGAGGATATAACTGTAGCAATAACATCCAGACAAAATGTATTTATTCAGGAGTGACTATGTCTAAACCGTGTGGTCTCTGAACTATATGTTTAGGCATTGTGATATCTAATTGAGAATTCTAAAATGCAAATACAGTTAAACGATCTATGCCTATCTATTTCATTAAAAGGAATAAATCAAGATTTTGTTATCTTTGAAACTTTAAACTGCGGTGCATGTGGAAAAAATACAATAATTATAATTACCCATTCAAAATCAAGTATCTTTCTTTTTAAATGTTTGTAAAAAATGTATATGCATCCTTAAGCTAAAAAAGAAGATCATTAATTGTTTTGCGAAAAGGTTATAATTTTTTAATTGTGACAAGCAGATAAATTTATTTTTTCTTCTTATAGTTAAAAAATCTTAAAACAAACATATTATTATTATTATTATCTTCCTTCCTTTTTCCTTTTTAACAATTAAATAAAAACAACTGAACAATTTAACGTTCTAAAACATTATTTTTAAATAAAGAAAAAATCCCATCTTCTTTTACACTGATTTTACTCTAGAGTAATCGGTTTGGGACTGTAGGATAACTGGTGTGTTTGTTTTTGAATTTCACGCAAAGCTACATGAGGGCTATCTAGCTAGTCATCACCACATACGCCAACTCTTGGCCTACTCCTCTACCAAGAATAGTTAGATTGACCGTCACATCATAACGCCCCACGCTGAAAGGGCGACCATGTTTGGTAGAACGGAGATTCGAACCCGCGACCCTCAGGTTGCGAGTCGAGCACCCTAACCACCTGGCCATGGATAACTGGAGGCTCGCCAAAAATGGAACTGTAGACCAGCTGCATGAATTTCCCTGACTTTGACTGATTCTGATTTAGCAAAAGAAAAAGACTTCACACAAGTTTGTACGCTGTAACACAATATATATTTATAGAAAACACAATCAAGGTTTTAAAACACGAGTGTAAACACAGACCATCCCCATGTGATTGAGGTTCACTCTAGTTTTGGAACAAGGAAATTATGTCGTGGAGCGATGCATGATCTTCCAACGGAAAAGGTTGCTGTCTATTTTGGTACAACTTGTACTATGGTAAAACCGTCTTCCATATTAGAGAGATCGCGTGACATCCTGATCGAGTGACCAGTTCTGTGTGTAACTAGGTTGAGAAGAACTTAGTAGCTCCCTTGACCCCTTTTCTATAACAGAACAAACAAATCATCACGTGCCATTTTTCGTGTACGTATATATATATATTTTTCTTTAGAAATATTGTACACTGTGCAATGAAATTCAAAGATTATTGGTGTATATAATATGTTGGCTATGACATGGAAAACAAAGTGTTCTAAAATAACTTCGGTCACTCTCAGTTAATTTTTATACAATTAAAGAGGTTAGATATATTATAATAAAATGTTTGGAACCTCACCATAATTTTTACATTATATTTTTGTACGTTTGGTTATGATATATATGACAGCCATGCATTTTCATAATAGCCCTGCAACGTAGTTTATATTGAAAAAGTATGTTATTATGCTGTCAGGTAAAAATCATACAGATAGTTCACGCAGCTTTCCATAATCTATCTATTGTCGAGGACGACAGTTTCCTAATACCTATCATTCACAAATTCTTAAGTGCTACATCAACCAACAAGACTGGTATTTCTTCACATGGAATAGCATGAATATCTATTCTATTTGTCAGCTGCTTGTGGTGTGCAGTAGTTGAACGGATGTGTCATGGAAGCAACTAGTGTATATGTGACTTGTGTCACTTTCCCAAATGGATACCCTTCTTGATAATGTTGTGTAGTGTACCCTGAGATACGTGGACAGTTTTTTCCACTGATCACTGTATGTGCATATTCTCACTACTAAACGTTAACCTTTGCTTAGCATGGCTGGGATATGACTTGATGCGGGTATTTTTTTAGTGGTCATGAAACCCCATGTTCATTCATATTCGATTGTTTTACAATGTCATTAAGTACAAAAGATATCCACATCTTGGAAATTCCAAATTTCCGATCTTAACATACCTTTGTGCATGAAAATTATATTTTTTTTTTGTGGAAAAGGGGTGTCACAAACCCTTCCCAAATGCAATCAGTTTCAGGTAGTATCATACTATATACAAATAATGAACAATGCTTAAATTTGCTATTGGCACGTGCTATACCACTGTGACTTTGGTAAGTACAACTTTCAGAAGATCCAATGCAACACACATTGATCATAGAACACCTGTTAAGGGTCCTAAGTGAACCTTTTGTATTAATAGCCAGTTCATCTCTAAATGTTTCATTAATTACATTACTTGTAACAAATTCGACTAAATCTACGAAGAGAAGCCAGCCGTATGCTCTCTGAATGCGTACAAGAACATTTAGGTAGAATTTTGATTAAAAATCAACTAATCTTGTAGGTGGACACTTCAAGAAAGTTGCTCATTTCATTCACATTTTAAATAATATGACATGAAGTAAAGAATCAGAATCGTAAAAGAAATCATTTTAAATTTTGGTTATATAAGTCCTTTTGATATTAACGGTTCAGCTTCTTATAATTTTTAAAATAACCTTTCTAATGTCACTTCTTTCAGTATTTTTTTAAAATGTTTTTGTTAACTGATTTTGTATATTTTAATATATTTTTTCTTAGTCGTTGTTTACTTCTTTAATACTAACCAATAAACAGTCACTATTTTCTTTAACTTATATTGTCGTTATTATAAAGTTTAACTCTTCTGTTTCTATCTCGCGTTACATTTTTTAGGGTGTATTATTTCCTTTCAGAACGTCCTGCATTGGTTAGTCATTAACCGAAAGGTTTGTTTTTGGCTTGAAAAGAGCGTTTGCTTGAAACGATACCAATGAAATAAAGAATAAAACTAAATATTTTTTAGGTGATTTAGTTCCAGAATCTCTAATTTCACTCTCTCGAAAGAGCTGTTACTAGGGCATCATTAGTAGTTTGAGGCAACTGACTATATGTCATGCGTTCTCTGAGAAAATCCCATATGTGCTCGAAGAAACTGAGGAAGTGACCATGCAAGACATTCTATTAGTCCACTAATTATTGTTGTTTTTCAACGAATGTGTTGATCACATTAGCAAAATGAGGGCTGATTTAATCTAGATTCCTTTCTTTCACAGTGAAATTAAGATATCTCCATCTTGTAAATTCTAAATTCCCGATTTGAACACCTTTTTATGCTCCGAGTGTTGGATGCTTTGAGTCGGAAAGGGTTGTTACATACCATTTCCATTGAGAGAATTTTCCTGCGGTATCACGCAATATACAAATGTCAAACAATGTAAAAATTTACTTCTGATACATGCCACACCACTACGACGTTATATCGGCTATGACTGTCACGTGACTTGCTAATATGCATAGAAAAATAGTTTTAGTATAATATACTAAGCCTTCTGTAAGACTATTGATGTTTTCTCATTTAATTTGGAATGTAAATTATTAGTCATTGAGGCTACCCTTGTAAGAAAACATTTATTATATTCGTTTTACGTCTTTAGAGTTTATGACATTTCACTTCATTATGAAGTTCATTCTCCATAAACAATAAAGGCAGACTGATACCTATATTTAATATTTAAGAACACGTTATATACGTTGTCCTAACTTATAATCGACCACTCTTTTCAGAGTGGTCCGCCCCTTAAGAATATCCCCTACTTACCGAATAAGAATGAAGAATAGTGAGCCTACAAAACATTGCATTAGATCAGTCATTGTTTTTTCAAATAATGTATTAGTCAGTATAGTAAAATAAGATCTATTGTGATTATTCATTAGACTGAAGTCCGTGTCAAGTTCACCAACATATGCCACCTCAAAAAGTTGTAGAATGTAATAGTTATAATATGTGTCATTAATGGTATCCTTCCACAGAATATAGAGGTCAATACGTCCGCCAGTGTTTGTTTCAGGTTTCGTGCAATTCTAGACAAATAAAAAAAATATTATTATTTGATATTGCAGTTGCTTAATTAACAAAGATTCATATGATACGTAACATATTTCATTTGTACTGATCAGTTCAAAAATATTTGTTATTTGTATCTCTCGTAAAGGTTCTAAAATAGGCGATGTTTAATCCATTAAGGGATTAAGTAGAAAGTTTTGAGTCTTATTCTTGAAAAAAAAGTCGTGAATTATTACCGCACTCAATTATCTGAATGCCATCTATTAAGAATTACGATTATCCACTAATTGTACACTGTATTGTGCCACCAGCTAAAAATGCACTACAAATGAAATATTATCAAATTCGAGTAGACTGCTATTAGTTTTGTTACTTCATTCTAGATTTTAAAATATATTTGTAGCTTACTTTGAAGGAGAGTCCTCTCTGATAAATATTTTAATATGTGTACCTGACAGTGTTCTTAAATATCGTCCAGCATTAATTATTTGACGACATGAATTAAATATTTGTTTCATACTCCTATTCCTAATTTCATGCAGCTTCGTTTTCTTCATTAAGTCTCCCACTTTGCAAGGACATTTAAATTTTAATTTGATAACTTTGATTGTTTTTTTTTAAATAATAATCTACATTTACAACTTTCATATTACAAACCAGATTAGTGAATTTTATTTGTTTTACATTCAGATCTTAATTGGAAATAATGAATAATCGCTTGGCCCTAAGACATAATGTTAGGCAGCAATTTACATGCATTTGTTGTTCAAGCAATCCTGTAAAATTCTTGTCTTTTACTGATTTAAAGTTATTTTCTAAAGAAAGTTAAACAATTATGTATTATGGATGAAAAATCAATTCAATTCTACGCAATCATGTCAAGAGAGTAACAAACATCCAATTGCGACTCTTCTGAGTTATTTTCCAACATTTGTTTCTCTTACAGGATAGAGAATTTCTGCCATTTTAGATAAAAGCTTACAATGGATTGCTCAATGTTTGCATCTTAGATTTATAGTCAACTTCTCCAGTTTGAGTATCCACTTTTTCTCTCCAAAAGACATTCATACGTTATATATGCTGTTACGTATTAGAATTTCAAAAGGTCTGAAACTGAGTTAACTTGTACTTTGGTTTTAGTATTTAAATAAATGTCGATATATCTCCAGTTTATGATATTTGCCAATAAGATTGAGCGAGATAATTATGAGTTGATGTAGGTAAAATTCGCTTAACAGGAAGCTAGCTAGCTTTGTCCTTCGTTATTCACCAGCCACACACGCCGAGTTTTTCACCTTGAAATTATATAATGTTTTCGTAAAAATACTAATGTCCGATGAGAATCCACTGAAGTTAAATGGTTTGTAATGTTCGAACTTTATGAATGCTCCTGGTCAAATATCTGATGTTCTCCGATTAATAAGCGTTATAGTGTTATAGCTTCCGAAGTTTATAGCAAACTAATAATAAATACTACTTTTTTGATGCGTCTCGTTGGTTATACTTATAAGCGTGTGGAGAGTTTCTCGAAAATTCATATTACGTAACAATACAAAGCTACATTAACCTTTTATGTACAAACATATATTGTTGATTTTTACACCAGAGAAGAATCTTCTACAACTTTAGAGAATAGGCGGGAGTTTTGCAATACATATTTAACAGTATAAGCTATGCATATTTCTAAATATAAACTTAATCTAAACAAACGTTGATATTAAAATAAATATATAATAATAAACCCGTCACAATGTATATATATATATAGTAGAAACGGCTGATGTGGGTATTGAAGACTTATATTTGAAAATCACAAAACAAGCAACTACGTTTCGACCTCTTTAGATCATCATCAGGTTAAGAATGAGCTCTAAAAAAGCGAACGTTATTGATCACTTGTCGTGTAGACGGCAGTAACGATAGGTATAAGATTGTAGGGGGCGCAGTAAATATGTAGCATATTATATGGTAATTAACATTAAGGAATTATTAGTATAGATATATAACCGTTTCTTGGTGCTGGTTTAATGTGGGTTTACGTTTTTGTATTAGAAGAGCTTCTTTAATTTTTCGTTTATTTACTTTGGTTTATTTACTTAGTATGTTAGTTTTTTCTATGGTTATACTGTGGTTATTTGTGGTACAATGTTCAAAACATGGGAAGGTGATTTTTTGTTTTCAATGAATCTGGTTTCCATTTTTCGGCTTGTTTCTCAGATATAGAAATCATAGAAGTTGTTGCATTGTATTTTATATAAGACGTTAGTATTATGCTTGTCAAAGTAGTTTTTACATAGTTTAGATTTGAATTTTGGACCTGGTTTTTGAATGAATTTAGTGTTTACTGGAATGTTATGTTTGATTACGAGTTTTTTCCAAACGTTAGTTATTTTGTCGATGATATCTGGAATGTAAAGTATGCAGCAGTGTAGTGTTTTGTTGTTAGTTGTTTTGTTGTCTATTGTGTTGTTGGTTGTGGTTTCTGTGAATAATTCTTTAGACGGTTTTTATAAGATAAAGTCTTGTTTTAGATGATTGACTTCTGAGTTTGTCAAGTGAGCAAAGGTTTCTGACTATGTTTGTTAGGTTTTCTAGTATGTTGAGTTTTTGTTTTGTTTCATGTGCCGAGTTCCAGAGAACATACAGTCCAGTATCAGTGATTTTTTGGGGGATTTCTTCTTGTCATATTGAGGTTTAGAAATGATAGTTGTTGATCTTTTTCGTATTTACTAATGAACTTAGTATTTGAATGTATGGAGTTAATGTGTTTGAAAACATTTGTTTAGGTGTTCTATAGATGTGAATCCGGCAAATGTATCGTCTACATATCTGCACCAATATATTGGTGGGTTTGATTTTAAACTGGTGGCTTGAGATTCAATCTGTATCATAAAAATGTCGGCTAGGATCTGTGGCACCGGATTGCCCATACTTAAACCATTTATCTGAATGTAGTTTTGGTTGTTGAACATAAAGTTAGTTTTAGAGATAGCAAATTCTAAAAGAGTTGCTAGTTGGTTGTTGGGGTTCTAATGCTATGTCACTGGCTTCTGTGGTGGGAACTTTAGTGAAGAGAGAGACTATGTCAAAGCTAACCATTAGGGCTTTATGGTATAGTTACTCTAGTAAAGTTCTAAAGTTGAAGGCGTCTTTGAAAAAAGGAGTCTGCTGATGTTATATATGTAGAGATTGTCCACGCGATGTATTTACCTAGGTTATAGGTAAATGATTCATAGATCGACATTATGGGTCTTAGTGAACAATGAGGTTCATGTGGTTTGGGAGTTTCACATAGCTGTGGTGTACAGGAGTTGGTCTTACATAAGTAGGAGTAAAGATGCTCAGAAATTGTGTTTAGTTTAGTTTAGTTAATTTTCACGTGTTGTTGTTGGATATGTGAAGTTTGGCTTAAATATATTTGTATCTGATATGATAACATTCATTGTTTGATTGTACCCATCGGTATTCAAGATTACGATGGCATTGTCTTATCTGCTTTTAATATTTTGATGTTATTGTTTTGTTTCAGGATTATCAATTCATTGAATATCTCTGTTTCATTGGTTACTTTTAACTTTCTCTTTTGAGAAATTATGTTGGTGGTTTTGTTTGAGAATTCTCTGAAAAGCTGTTTAAAATACCATATTTGGGTATTTCGGAGAAATGGAATTTTTCTGTTTTACCTGTAAAGACGATTTGTTTATTATCATTAGACATGGTATCTGTGTTGTCTTCTTTGTGATGGCTGTTTTCCGTACTTTTTGTTATATTCTCGGCCTTTGTGGAATAGATCACTAGTCTTCTAATAAGATCTAACCAGGCATGCTTTCATTTCAATGGATGAAATATTTTTGGGAGTGACAGCAAAGTTGAGTCATTTGTTCATAAGATGTATTTTTTCGGTGTTTAATTGTCGATCAGATCTGTTGTTAACGAAAAGTATATAGTTTTATTTAGTTTATTTTGAATTTCGCGTAAAGCTACACGAGGGCTATCTGCACTAGCAGTCCCTAATTTAGCAACGATTAACTAGAGGGAAGACATATAGTCAACACTACCCAACGTCAACTCTTGGACTACTCTTTTATCAACGAAAGGTGAGACTGACTGTCACAACTGTACATGACTGTATCTCCCCTGTAGTGGCTATCAGTATCGTAGTGGACAGTATTGAAGCTTATAACGCAGTGAGTATACTACCATTCAGTGTCCAAGACTAGTTGAAGTCCCATTTGTAGCTCCTCTGTAGTACCTATTAGTATCACTGTGCACAGTGTATGAATACAATGATATATTGTAAGAGAAATACTTGAAGTAAGCCTCCATTCAGTGTGCGTGTGTATGTGTGTCAGTATACCACCCAGCAAATCACCTGGTGAACGTTTTAAACATGATGTCTTAAGATATATTAATACTAATATGCCACAATACTATACGCATGTGTGGACAAGGAGAAACTTTATACCAACAAAATAATAATCGTTACAACCATATTCAACTTGATTTTTACCACTATTTCATTTCAATAGTTTCTCCTCTGAACCTTTGGTCATTTATTACCTACCACAGGTAAGCCTCGACCTTCTGTCACATGGTGGAAAGAGAAGATATTACTCGATGATAGTTACACGTTTAAGCCTCACAACGTTGTCGATAATGAACTAACCATCGACAGTGTGAAAAGAGAAGATCTTCTCTCCGTCCTCACATGCATGGCTTCAAACAGTAACATCACAGTTCCTGGCTCTGTGTCCATTACTTTAGATTTAAACTGTAAGTAGTGAAGCCTGATAACCATAAGCACTGAAAGTATTATAGTTGGCTGCTTTTTAGTGTTAGAAAATGTTCTGGAACGATATAATTTGAAAATTAATTAAATATATACATACAATGGTGAATTGTATTATACACTTCAATTTAATCTATTTGTTTTTAAAATACATACATCAAAATTATATATTATCTTCGGTAGGCTCTTAAGCTCGAAAAGAAATGTACTAATTTAACTAACGATGTGTAAATAAAACATTAACTGAAATTCTTTAAACGTTTGATGACCATTATATCAACTGACCGTGCTCATCTGCTAAATATTATCAGAATTTTTAAATTTATGATACTCGCTGCAGTTAGCCAAACCTTAAATGTATGAGCTCTAATCAGGCTAAATGAAAAATCGTGTAGACAATATATATATATATATATAATTCAGGCTTCAACTTTTATCAGTTCATTGTAAGTGTGAAATTAACTTTGATTTAAAGTGTTCTATTTAGTGAGTATATAAATAACAAATATTCTCAGGACTTGTTGTAATGCACTATTAAGCTTTTAATTATGCTATAATTTTAAAGTATTACACTAGGTAACATACCATATCACAGTCTGCGTTTTCTGTGCTTTGCATTAGTATATATATTTGAATGTCTACCATCTTTATTTTTCTTAACGTTAATATGCCTTTTATTAAATAAAATGTGAGCGTTAATCAACCAGCAGTAATACTGAAAGGATGTATGATACTTTTATGCAACAATTAGAAAATCGTTCGTCATAAGACTTATTTAATTAAAAAAGGGTTTACATTTACCACCCAGCGGCTCAGCAGTATGTCTGCAGACTTATGACGCTAAAAATCGGGTTTCGACACCCGTGGTTTGTAGAATAGTCCATTATGTAGCTTGGTACTTAACAACAAACAAATTTTTAGTTTGGATTTCAAACATGACTCTATATTTATATTTATTTACATTAGTATCAAACCTATCATATTCATTAGAACATTACTTTCTTTATTTGGTCCTTTAGGGATTTTCAAGAATGAGAAAATTGTTTAATAATAGTTTCAATAACACTATGTTCGCCATTTCCAGCCCCCCAGTAGCACAGCGGTATGTCTGCGGACTTACAACGCTAGAAATCGTGTTTCAATACCCGTGGTGGGCATAGCACAAATAGCCCATTGTGTAGCTTTCCACTGCCAACGGCTATTTTGTTTATTTTACCAGCAGACCAGATGAGCTCTGGATTGATTAAAATACTATTATTATACACTATTCTAACTTTTGAAAATCCCTAGATAAAGAATGGAGTGTTAGAAATATAATAGGCCTAATACTAATTAATGTCTTTTGACAAGTATAATTAAATACAATCATGCGTCGCCAGCTTGTAAAAGGCGTTTACACCACAACAGTTCCTAGGTTCTATGTTGTAAGAATACATTCCTCGTTATTAATTATCTGATTTGTTCTTTCACGTTTCTATTCCGCGTTATAAAGAAGTTAATATCGCTTTTATTATACATTTATTCTCTCCTTTAACTTTCCAGTAAAACCCGAAAGAGTGAAAATTAAATCCCCAAAGCGCCCTCTTTCAGCCGGTGAAAATGTGAAACTTTTCTGTTCCTCAAGCGGTTCACGACCAGCGGCTCATATCACGTGGTGGAAGGGAAACCAACAACTTCAACAAACAGAAGTTACTGTAGACAAGTTCGATCTTCAAATGAGTAGTGTCACATTCATACCAGCTACTTCTGATGATGGGAAGTACCTGTCCTGTAGAGCTGTTAATCCAAACATACCAGGAAGTGCCATAGAGGATGGTTGGAGACTGGGAGTCTATTGTAAGTAGCTGGGAGAAAGTATATATATATATATATATATACAATAAAAAGCAATACAGTAGAATTAACTAATTAATTGCCATTGTCCTTCCAAGTTGTCAACTTGAAGTGATAACTGATAATGCCTGTGGTCATAACACTCAAATGCATTGAGGATATTCCATCTATCAGATAAAATTCAAACGCTGGTGTTAAACTAGCCAGCAGCTATGGAAGAGCAATTAATCGTATGGGGCTGAGTGCTTACACCCACAATATCTGAACTCCTACTGCCTTTTGCTGTCGACAGACAGTTATGGAAAGGCAGTTACCCTTAAAATTCTGATACAATCTTAAAGTATAAAAAAACCACCCTCAACTTTCTAGAATGTAAAATTTCCCAGCCTCCATCCTGTTATTTATAAAAAGATGTTAAACAGAACTAAAATCCCCACCTTAATAGTTTTTACTTTCCCAATCTCCCCCCTTTCACTTGATGATTTGTTCAAGTATAACGCGAGAAAGCCTAGACAAACCCAGCTACATGAACTTAAAGTTAGTCTTTCCGTCCGATGTACTGAACATTTCCATTTACACAGTTAACTACTTATAACTTGAGTAACTAACAACCTCTAATTTCTCCATAAGGTATTTTCCATAATCGAGAATTTATTTTTCAAACATTTTCGTACAAAAGTATAAAGATTTGTTTGAATAATAATGTCTAATAATATATCTATTACCTTTCAGTTTATTTATGAATAATAAAACATTATCTATAAAAGAATTACTATTGCTATAAACTGTTAAAAACCTTTTTAATTGAGATGTAATACCTTTAACCGTATAAACGTAATAACACTATTGGGGATGAGTAGACAAGGGGTGGGAAAATGAAGTTCCCTTCTTTTATCAGTTAGTTAACCATACTCTGCCTTTTACAAGATTAAAGTCTAAATCTAAATGATTTGCGTGAACATCATTACTATTGATTCTTTCTTTTGTAAGTTCTCTTGGATATATTAAGTTTGAAAAAAAAAATTCAAGTTGCTTATGCAAAATACATTATCTATGTAACGGAAAGTGTAGATGTACAAATTAGGATTTAATACCTGTTTCAAAAGTGGGTTTTTATAGAAGAACAGATACAGACTGGTCATGTTCGAAAATATATTAACCCTCAGTGGAATGCCCACTGTTTGTCTATTTACTTGTTCGTTGATTTTAATACAACAATTATGAATACAAAAATGAAGTATATTTTTACACTGAATTTTAGTTCATTTAAATTTTAGAATTTTTATTTCTGTACCTATAAAATTATCAAATGAGTCATTAGATATCCTGATTAAATACTTCAAACCTATTTTAGCATATATTGTGGTGAAATCATATGTAATTACAGAGTTGGCTGTTTTTAAAGAACTTAAATAATCTATACAAAACTAAAATGTTATTTTTAATGATCCAAATTGTCTGAATTATTTGATAACAGTATTTTTATTTTATTTCAATCAGATAAGACATCTAGAATATAATTGAATACAACAGAATCAGATTTAGTAACTGTATTTAAATAATTGATAATAAACCTGAGCTTAACAGCAGTTTCATGCAGTTTCGGAATCTAACATGTATATAAAGTTAAGTTTGTGTCTCTTTGTTCAGCCATCTGTTCCTTATACGTTTCCACATTTCTTAATCAATCAGCACCCAACTTTAGACAGTGATACAAGATGACACGAGGAAGGTAATGAGTTGATCCCCCATCTAATTTCATATCTAATTTCCAAAAGAAAAAAATTACCAAATCATCACAGCTTCACACAATGACACAGGATGACATGAGGAAGTTCATGAGGGGGTTTCGACCCCAATCTAATTTCGTTTTGACAGAATTCTTGAAAACAGTGTCTTTCTTTATGTATTTTTTTTGCGCGTTTAGTGTTTATTATGTTAAGAAAAAGAATACATGCACAATTTCCTATCCTTTGTTACAAACGAGTTTTTATTTCATACGCCCAACGGTCGGGTACTCCAGCTAATGGCATATAAAAATGGTAAGTTAGAACAAGAATAATCTGTATGTATATTCCATTTTTAATAGTTTTCTTTATATTTGTGATAACTATATTTATATTTAAAGCACTTCTTGTAAGTGTGTTTGTAGTACTCATTTCATTAATTAAAATATGGGCATATGATTTTTACACACAAAAAGAAAAGTACAGCTAGATTTATCAATCAGGGTAATAATAAATTGTTCTTGAAGTTTTTATATTTGAAAGAAATATCTATTTTATACTTAGAGAAGTTTAAAGTTTCTAACTGATTTTTTATGGAATCAATAAAATATAGTATCCATACAAAAATAAACATGGAGGCTAATAAGATTTTTTACTTATTTTAATAATATTGTTATCAATATTTTTCTCCAAGTATTTTAAGATTTCGCTTTTTTGTAATTTCTTTTAAATTATTAATTTAGTACCTTTCTCTAATATTGACCCTATTTCCTTATCCTTGATAACTCTAAATAACTTGTAACTATATGATCATGAAGAGAGTCCTTAAAGTTACTTGTTACTACAGTTACAAGACAATTTGTCAACTTCTGTTGGATTAAATTCTGCAATGAATTTTGATAGGAAAAGAGATGAGGTCCTATAGGTTTATTATATTTAAAACTAACTATAGATTGTAATGATTTGATGGAAAAATGTTTTCTTGAAAATTTTTATGGATTAGGTAAGGTAGAGATAATCCATCATATACTTTATGTTTAAAATTTATTACTATATAAGATTTTTCATTTTGCTTTACTTGTGTTAAACTATCCATACTAACTTCAAATAACTGGGTTTGTATCAGCTTTTCCGTGTTGTACTTGAACAAATCGTCAAGAGAAACGGAGGAGGTTGGGAATGTCAGAACTATTAAGGTGGGTGTTTTAATTCTGTTTAATATCTTTCTGTAAATAAAAGAGCGGAGGCTGGGAAATTTTCGTTCTAGAAATTAGAGGGTGGTTTCATTTCAACTTTAAGGTTGTACCAGAAATTTAAGGGTAACTACCCTTCCACAACTGGCTGTAGACAGTGAAACGCAGTAGGGTTCAGATGTGATAGGTGCAATCACTCAGCTCCATACCATTAATTGATCTTCCATGACTATTGTCAGCGTTTGGATTTTATCTGATAGATGGAATATTCCCAACGCATTTGAGTACTATGACCACAGGCATTAACCATTAAGACTTCAAGTTGGCAAATAATTACCTAATCCTACTGTAATACTTGTTTTATGTTAAGTTCATTATTGTTTTATAGTGCCAATTCAATCGCCTATTCATAATCGTCGTGCGGTTAAAACAATCTGCGTGATAGTTTAATGATTTTCCACCTTTTGTATCTCGGACTGTGGTAACCCAAACTGTCACATATTTTTAGTGAACTGGACTCTTACTTCACATATCAAATTTCAAGGCAATCCATTAAGAAATACTTGAGATATAGAACCTCCAATTTTGATTGAGTTTCGCACCTAGTTTTTCTTCTTCACACCAACACTACCGCAACTTTATTTAACAGAAAAACCATACTTTACTTTCATTTGCTTTGTTTTGTTAAATTTTGTACACTGATAGAACTTTCATCCTACAATTAAGAGTTTCATTTGGCGTAAGTATAAACCACTTGTGCAAAGTTATTAAAAAAACCGCTCAAATTTGACGACAATTTTTGCGCACGTCTAAGCAAAAGGTCACATTGGCTATCGATCTAATATTTTTACTACAGCTTCACCTAAGACTAAAAGTGTACCGTTTTTTAATTTTTTGTCCTTCGGATTAAAGACGGCTCATTTAGAGCATCAAATCTATAGGTTGAAAGGACGTGCTGATACATAAGTATTGGTTAGGTCAAGCAAACTAGATTATCAGTTCTAGCTCAAGTTTTCAAACGAATCATACGGGTGAACGGTTATTATTCATTATTCATTGCCAACTTTTAAGCACAAATTTACAAATTTTATGAAGTTATCCTAAATAAAGAACGTTTAGCATGACGTGATATTAGTTTAAGCGATTAGCGTAAACAGAGATGTTTGATACGGCTGTATCTAGTGCATGTGGGTGATGACAGGAAACTAGTAGTCTAGATTCCATGGCGTTACTATAAAGGAAGTTATTAACATTGTTTTAGAGAGGAAAACTACTACCAAATATTTGAAATAATCTGGTTGGTTCTGTAGAGTATAGGTCTGTTCCAAATAATAGGATTGCGATAATAAAGCTAATGCTGGTTTCTATCGAGTGTCACTTTCTTATTAGCTGTGGTTTGTTGGTGTGTATTGACAAAAAATCATGATATTTAATCAAAAACAGCTTAGGTGTAAAAAATAGTTCGGCTTAAAAAGGATTGGGGATATAACGCATAAAGAAGTCAGCATATTATTCATAGGACACAATTCAACGTCCCTCTGAATTTATTATATGCTACGGTAACATATTTCTTTAAAAAACAAATCCACGAGCAAACTAATTGTTTAGAATCTTTATAGGAAATGAATGGTACATGTTTTTAAACGACTAGAGGTAAAAAATTATAAACTCTGTTTATACTAGTTTCTTCAGCGTGGGAAACGTTTAAGAATTCTTTCATTAATAATTGATTTTAATAGATGTGATTCACCGACCAAAAAATTTTGTAAATGAAATACAATTTTGTATTTTTAAACATTATCAGAACTTATATCATAGCAGGCATTAATTTAATGGCAAAGAACTCTCCGGGTCTATCTAAATCTTTAGCGTGCTTAGACTCCACGGTTCGCGACCTATTGCCACTAAAACATGTTTTTCATTTCTTTGAGGTCGTTAAAGAAATGACAGTCAAATCCTGTTATTTGATCGAATAAGATCAACCTAATGGTTAACGGTAGGCGCTGTTGATTAACGTTTTTCCTCTATAATCTATAAATTCAAAATTAGAGAAAGTCCTCAAAAGTCTTGAAACGAAAGACAA